CGAGCCTCTCCCGCCGTATACGATGATCTGCGTGGTAGCGCAGGCCCTGCGAGGGTCTTAGGCGACAGTGGCCGAACCAACTTGGGGCAGGGCATATCCGAGGTCAGATCTTTCAGGAGGTCTAAAGCGAAAGTGGCCTGACCATTCAGCTCAGGGCATCTCGGAACCGAAAGTTACGAGGATGTTCCATGCGAAAGTGGCCTGAACAGGTCAGCTTTAGGCGTCTCGGAAGTCACTGTTGCGAGGATGTCGCAGGCGAAAGTGGCCCTACCGCCATGGGGCAGGGCACCTCCGAAGTTAGAGGTGCGAGGGCGTTTCAGGTGAAAGTGGCCTGAACACCACATCTCGCGGTATATCCGGGGTCAGACTACTTCAAGGCGGGGCACATCCCAGGTCAACACTGCGAGTTTGTCTAGGCGAAACTGCCAGCACAATTTGGGGCAGGGAATATCTGAGATCAGCGTTGCGATGATGTCTCAAGCGAAAAGGGCGCGAATATCTGAGCTCAGGGAATCCCAGAACCCACAGTTGCGAGGATGCAGCAGGCGAAAGTGGCCTGACCACCATGGGGCTGGGGGGAGGGCAACTCCGCGGTCTGACGCGAAAGTGGTCTTAACACCTCAACCCTGGGCGTCTCGGCAGCCACAGTTGCGGGGATGTTACAGGCGATCGTGGCCAAACCACGAGAATAATACATGTGCTTCGCAGCGGTAGCCACAGTAATATTTGCTGGTGCCGTAGTCGTAGCTTTAGCATTTGTACTATCAGTGATAGCAATAGCCGCAACGATCATGCAAAACATGTGCATAGTTGCGAACGCCTCAATAAGAAGTGTTGTTGAAGTAGTGATCGCAATGGTAGTTGTAGTTGCGTTAGTACCAGTAGCAGTAGTGGTAACGATAGGACCATGGAAATAAGAATAGTAGCAACAACAGTAATATTGGTAAATGTAATGGAAATTATACTAGCAGTTGTTGTATCAACACCCGTAACAACAGCAAAAGGGAATCGTACTAATATAATTGTTACGCACTGTACTTGTAGAAGCACCGGTGACAGCAGCGGGAACGGTAGTAACAAACAGGAGTAGTAGTAGTAGTAGTAGTAGTAGTAGTAGTAGTAGTAGTAGTAGTAGTAATAGTAGTAGTAGTAGTAATAGTAGTAGTAGTGGTAGTAGTAGTAGTAGTAGTAGTAGTAGCTGTTATGGTTGTGGATGTTCTTCGCGCCCTCGCGAGGCCACCGCGAGGCCACCTTGGAAGAGGCCAGTTTTCTAGCCCAGGCCGCGACGCGTGAAGCACGATTATCTTCGCGCCCCTGGGGTGACCGAGTCTCAGACAGCCGCCGAAGGCCTCCTCCTCCCGCTCCTCGTTGTCCTCGTCCCTCCTCCTCCTCACCTTCCTTATCCTCCCCCTCTTCCTCTTCCCTCCGCCTCCTCCCCATCCTCCTGCTCGTCTTCCTCCTCCCCTCCTCCTCCTCCTCCTCCTCAGCATGATTTTCATCATCATCATCATCCTCCTCCTCCTCCTCATCATCATCATCATCATCACCATCTTCATCATCATCAGCAGCAACGTCATTGTCATCAACATCCGCATGCTCGCTGTAGCTTTACAAATAACCATAGCAGCAGGGAGTGATAGTAATAGTTGTGGTAGCAATATCAAGAACAGCAACACCGTAGTAGTCGTAGTAGTAGTAGTAGTAGTAGTAGTAGTAGTAGTAGTAGTAGGTAGTAGGTAGTAGTAGTAGTAGTAGCAGCAGTAGTAGTAGTAGTAGTAGTAGTAGTAGTCGTAGTAGTAGTAGTAGTCGTAGTAGTCGTAGTAGTAGTAGTAGTAGTAGTAGTAGTAGTAGTAGTAGTAGTAGTAGTAGTAGTAGTAGTAGTAGTAGTAGTAGTAGTAGTAGTAGTAGTAGTAGTAGTAGTAGTAGTAGTAGTAGTAGTAGTAGTAGTAGTATAGTAGTAGTAGTAGTAGTAGTAGTAGTAGTAGTATAGTAGTAGTAGTAGTTCGTCAAAGTAGATTATAGTAGTAATAAATCAATAGAAGCAGTAGAAGACTAAAAGAAGTAGCAGTAGTAGTAGTGTAGTAGTAGTAGTAGTAGTAGTTGTAGTAGTAGTAGTAGTAGTAGTACTACTACTACTACTGCTACTTCTACTACTACTACTACTACTACTAGTACTGGTATTAGTGACATTAGTAGGATCAGTATTAATAGCACTAGCAGTAGGACCAGTAGTAGTTCTAATAGTTGCGCTCGTGCGAATAACAATAGCACTCACGAGAAAAACATGTGCATCGCAGCGGTAGCCACAGTAATATTAACTGGCGCGCGTAGTAGTAGCTTTAGCATTAATCGTATCAGTAATAGCAGTAACCGCAACGATCCATTAACAAATGCGCATAGTTGCGGTAGTCTAAACGATAAGTGCTATTGAAGTCGCGATCGCAATAATAGTTGCACTAGTACCACTAGCAGTAACGGTAACGATAACAATCCATGGGAACGAGAGTAGTAGCATCAACAGTAGTCTATGTATGTAGTGATACTGATAGTAGCAGTTGCTGTTGTATCAGCACCCGTGACAACAGCAGTAACGATACTAACACATGGGAATCGTACTCACCGAATTGTTATTATTTGTATTGGTAGTAGCACCGGTGACAGCAGCGGAAGCGGCAGTAACAAGTAGGAGTAGTAGCAGTAGTAACTGTTATGGTTGTGGATGTTGTAGTAAGAAGTATTGTAAGGATTTCTTGGGATCCCCGGAAGTTCCTCAATACCAAGAAGTCATCACAAATATTCAGAAGGATTACCACTCGGAGTGGTCCAAAGGTTTCTCCAGGAGTCCTCAGAAAATATTCGACGGATGACCACTCGGACAACTACGACAATTACGAGCCGACAAACCGATCAACAGAGCAACCGATAAACCGATAAGCTGGTAAACCGACAAGCCGATACACCGGTAAATGGAGAAACGTACCGGTAGACCGATAAGCCGATCAACTGATAAAGCCATACTGCGCTGAGATTCGGACACGCTTGCGATGAGTCGGTTTTGTGGATTATTGGTTTACGTGGTTATCGACCGATCAACCGATAGAATCATATCGATGTATCGGTCGATCTGCCGATATACCGATCAACCGGAATAGCTTATCGGTTTATCTGTTGATCGGTCAGGTCCTGCAGCTGCAACCAACATGTTCGTGGTAGTATGCCAAGCGGGTGTCTCGCGCCGCATCCTGGAATCATTCGAACGCCTTTGCGCGCGTGCCTGGGGGGGGGGGGGGCACGATCTGTCAAATCACACCATGCGGGCCACTCTCGCGCGTCTGCCGTGCGCGCGTGTCGATCTCCTTCCAAAACGCATCACCGACGCGAGGGCGCCATCATCGTCGTCGGCGTGCTTAGCAACGGCGCCGCCAGTGGCCGTGCCGTCGTCGTTGTCAACATCGTCACCAGCATCGCTACTATCATCATCGTGTCTACCGTGATCGACGCTGCAATGATACCGCGCACGCACAAGTCGCCGACTCGCACTGCAGTGCCCGATGGGATGTGCCCAGCGATCAGCGCCACCGCGGCCGCGTCGGCCGCGCCGGACTAGCTGGCCGTTGCGTGCGCGTGCATGTGCGAGCTAGCGCGGCCGAAGGGATGCACCAGCAAACACCAAACACGAATCGCAATCACCCCCGCATGGGTTTTGCAAACCAAGTTGCGGGTTGGTGGGTGGGATGATTGTGCGAGCAGTAGAGTTGACAACTCCAAGCTGAGCACGGGTGGGTTGCACTATATAGATTGCACCACATCGGTTGCACAGCATATATTGCACCACAAAGGTAGCACCCCACGTAATGCACTGAATGTATTGCTAGAAACGTATTGTTTAGGGTCAGCGCTGGCTAACATTTGTGTTCGTATCTCGCTTTCCCTCCTGAGCCCTGAGCCCCAAAATGTCTGCGTCTTGCTTTTACTTCCGCCGCCTTCCGCTAGCCCGCCGACCGTCGTTTTCACATCCGCCAGCTTCCGCCGAGGGCGAGTACGCCGAAAATGAATCCATTTCAAGGGCGCCCTATGTGCATCTGGCTTCTTGGTGAGACTTGCGCGCCGTGCAAGGCTCGTGGCAACTTGCAGCGAGAGGACGATACTCGAGGCGTGCGGGTGCGGCGAAGGGCTCGTGCGATTCCCCTGCTCGGGGATCATGTGCGGCCTGAGCCGGAGTGGGAACAAGGAGGAGGGAGACGAGGAGGGGGAGGTGAAGACAAGATGAAATATGACGCGTCGTGTGGGTCTCCAGCTCGTCGAATGTAAGCGAATCAGGGCCAGGGGACGTTTTCCCACGAGGGGGCTAACAGCGCCTGGGGCCGCCCCCCAAAGCTGGATGAGGGGAAACAAGGAGGGAGGAGGAATGCACCGCCAAGGCTGCTACAAAGAAAAGGGTCGCCCAATGAACATGGGGTACCATGCTGTCATAATCTTGAGCGACGCTGGGCTAGCTTTGCGCGTGCAGGCGTGTGCATGACAAATGGGATTTTGGAAGCGCGGCCAGCTTCCTCAGAAGCTGCCGAAGAAGCACTGGGCCAAGGCGAAGAGCGGAGGCTTCTTGATGACTGGCGTGCGGCTGTAACCAAGGCCGTCCACGGCGTCACCCGAACCGACAAGCGACAGAACCGATAGCGACACCGCAACCGAAGGAAGCCGACAGCTCGCAAGCGAAGCGGCAGGGCGCAACGACGCAACAACAACGCAGCAACCGACCGGACCGAAACCGACCGAACGAAACCGACTGCGACGCGGCCGAACTGACCGAGCTGCGGAAGGCCTTGAGCGTCGTGGAGGAGCAGCAGGGCGGGCAAAGACACGAGCGAGCGTCAGCGAGGCAGGTGGTGTGTGCCGATGCGCGCCACGGCGGCGGCGATGGCGGCATTGTCGGCCACGGCGGCGGCCACGGCGGCGGCCACGGCGACGGCCGCCGCGGCGGCCGCGGCGGCGACGGAGTCCTGGATCTCGCCCCTGTTGAACTGCTCCCTCCACGCGCACGAGTACGGCAGCTGCCCTTCCAGGACCTGCTCGGCCGTGGCCTCGCCGGCCGCCAGCGTGCCCCTGGGGCTGGCGGGCCGCGGCAGGTCGCGGGGCCTTCCCCTCCTGATTGTTCGATACATGGGCACTAGAACTCTCGACCTTACCAGAAGTATCCGTGTGGATTGCGTTCCGTGGCATACTCTGTGTAAGCTTGGGGTCCGAAACGGTGCGGCGACAGGCCGAGCGGTGATCTCGGAACCCCCAA